CTGATGGGGCAGTAGTTGTGGTGGTGATGGGTTGTGGTGGTTGATGGGGCAGTATTGTGGTGGTGATGGGGCAGTAGTTGTGGTGGCCGGATGGGGCCAGTAGTTGTGGTGGGCCGATGGGCAGTAGTTTGGTGGCCGGCTGGGGCAGTAGTTGTGGTGGCCGTGGGTTCGTGTTGCGGCAGTAGTGTGATGATTAATGAGGCAGTAGTTGTGGTGGCTGATGGGGCAGTAGTTGTGATGTGGAGATGGGGGCAGTAGTCTTGTGACGGGCAGTAGTTGTGGTGGCCGATGGGGCAGTAGTTTTGGGTGGTGGGGTTGATATTGGGCAGTAGTTTGTGATGATTTAATGAGGCAGTAGTTGTGGTGGCTGATGGGCAGGTAGTTGTGGTGATTGATGGGGCAGTAGTTGTGGAGTGGGCGATGGGCAGTAGTTTTGGTGTGATTGAGGGGCAGTAGTTGTGATGATTAAATGAGGCAGTAGTTGGTGCTGGTCGTGGGGCAGTAGTTTGTGGGGGTGGCCGATGGGGCAGTAGTTTCGTGGTGGTTAGATTGGGTCAGGTAGTACTGTGAATGATTAATAGGCAGTAGTTGTGGTGACTGATGGCAGTAGCTTTGTGGTGGTTGATGGGGCAGTCAAGTTTGGTGGTTGATGGGCCATGTAGTTGGTCGTGCCGATTGGGGCTATGCGTAGTTGTGGTGCAATGAATGGGGCCAGCATGCTCTGTGGTGGTTGTATTTGGGCAGTTAGTCTCGTGCATGATTAATGAGGCAGGCTAGCTTGTGGTGACTGATGGGGGCAGTAAGTTGTTGGCTGACGTGACTGGGGCAGTAGTTGTGGGCTAGGTTGATGGGGCCTAGTAGTTGTGGGTGGCCGAATGGGGCAATGTACGTTGTGGTGGCCGATGGGGCAAGTAAGTTTTGGTAGGCCGACCCGTGGGCAGTAGTTTGTGGTGGCAGTGCAGTAGTTGGGTGTTTGTGGGCTGATGATGTTTGGCAGTAGTTGTGGTGGCTGATGGGGCAGTAGTTGTGGTGATTGATGGGGCAGTAGTTGGGGTGGTCGATGGGGCAGTAGTTGTGGTGGTTGATTGGGCAGTAGTTGTGATGATTAATGAGGCAGTAGTTGTTGGATGGCGATGGGGCAGTAAGTGTGGTGGGATGGGCAGTAGTTGTGGTGGCCGATGGGGCAGTAGTTGTGGTGGTCCCGAATGGGGCGATGGGATAGGTTGTGTGGTCGATGGGCAGTAGTTTGTGGATGACTGGTGGTTGATGGGGCAGTAGTTGTGGTGGTTGATGGGGCAGTAGTTGTGGTGGCTGATGGGGCAGTAGTTGTGGTGGCCGATGGGGCAGTAGTTTGTGGTGGTCTGATGGGCAGTAGTTGTGGTGACTGAAGGGGCATAGTTTGTTGGATGGGGCAGTAAGTTGTGGTGGTTGATGAGAACATTAGTTGTGGTGGCTGATGGGTGGTCAGTAAGTTGTGATGGCATTAATGAAGCAGTAGTGTGGTGCTGATGGGGCAGTAGTTGTGGTAGGTTGATGGGGGTCAGTAGTTGGGGTGGTCGATGGGGGCAGTAGTCTAGTCGGCGATTGATGGGCAACAGTCTAGTAGTCTCCGTGGTTTGGCTTGCTGATCGGAGGCAGTATTGCGGCGCGGTCGATCGGGGCAGCACGTTGGTGGCTTGCGTTGATGGGGCTAGTTGGGTGGTGATGGGGCTCATTAGTTGTGGTGGTTGATGGACAGTAGTTGTGGTGTTTGATGGGGAAGTAGTTTGTGGTGGTTGATGGGAACCAGGTAGTTGTGGGTGGTTGATTGGGACAGTAGTTGTGGTGTTGATGGACAGTAGTTTGTGGCTGGTTGTATGGGGCAGTAAGTTGTGGCCTGGGTTGATTGGCGTCACAGCTAGTTTGTGGTCGAGTTGATGGGGCGCAGTACGTTGGGGTGGTCGATGCAGGGCCAGTAGCTATTTGTGGGTGGTTGATGGGCAGATAGTTGGGCGTGTGTCGCATGGGGCATAGTTCGTGGTGGTATGGACACAAGATTGTGGTGGTTAATGGCAATAGTTGTGGTGTTGAATGGGACAGGTATTGTGGCTGGCCGATTGGGAGCATGTTACTGTGGTGGTTGATGGGGCAGTAGTTGTGGTGACTGAAGGGGCAATAGTTGTGGTAATTAATGGGGCAGTAAACACCTGTGGTGGTAGTGGAACATTAGTTGTGGTGGTTGATGGGCAGTAGTTTGGTGATGATTAGTGAGCACGTAGCTCTGTGGGTGGCTCGGATGGGGCAGTGAGTAATGGTGGTTGACTGGGGCAGTAGTACCTGGGGTTTGTCGATTGGGGCAGTAGTTATGTGGGTCTGGTTGATTGGGCAGTATGTTGGGGTGGTCGAATGGGGGCAGATCTGTGGGTGGCTTTGACGCTGGGGACAGTAGTTGTTGGTGGTTGATGGGAGGGCAGTAGTTGGGGTGAGTCCTGATCTCGGGGGCACAGCTTGTGGTGGCCATGATGGCGAGGCAGTTGTGGTGCGCTGCATGGGGCCAGTAGTCTCGTGGTGGCTGCTGGGGCAGTAGTTGTGGTGACTGATGGGGCAGTAGTTGTGGTGGTTGATGGGGCAGTAGTTGTGGTGGTTGATGGGGCAGTAGTTGTGGTGACTGCTAAATGGGGCAGTAGTTGTGGTGGTTTGATGGGGCAGTTAGTTTTGAGCGGTTGATGGGGCACGGTAGTTGTGGTGCGCCGATGGGGCGAAGTCAGTTGTGGTGGCCGATGGGCAGTAGTGCCTCTTGTGTGGTGGCCGATGGGCAGTAGTTGTGGTTGGTGATTGGCAGATAGTTGTGATGATTATATGAAAGGCAGTAGTTGTGTGGCTAATTGGGGGTAGTAGTTGTGGTGATTGATGGGGCAGTAGTTGGGGTGGTCGATGGGGCAGTAGTTGTGGTGGTTGATTGGGCAGTAGTTGTGATGATTAATGAGGCAGTAGTTGGGGTGGTCGATGGGCCGCATAGTGTGGGTGCCGATGGGGCAGTAGTTGCGTGGTGGTTGATTGGGCAGTAGTTGTGTGATGATTAATGGGCACGTAGTTGTGGTGACTGATGGGGCAGTAAGTTGTGGCTGGTTGATGGAGGCAGTAGTTGTGGTGGTTGATGGGGCATAGTTGGTGGTGGCCGATGGGGCAGTAGTTGGTGTGGCCTGTGGGGCAGTAGTTGTTGGTAGGCCGTACGGGCAGTAGTTTTGTTGGTTTAGTTGGTGGTTGATTGGGCAGTAGTTGTGATGATTAATGAGGCAGTAGTTGTGTGCTGATGGGCACAGTAGTGGTCGATGTGATGTGGCAGTAAAGTCTGGGTGGTCGATGGGGCAGTAGTTGTGGTGGTTGATTGGGCAGTAGTTGTGATGATTAATGAGGCAGTAGTTGGGGTGGCCGATGGGGCAGTAGTTGTGGTGGCCGATGGGGCAGTAGTTGTGGTGACCGATGGGCAGTAGTTGTGGTGACTGATGGGGCAGTAGTTGTGGTGGCCGATGGGGCAGTAGTTGTGGTGAGTGATGGGGCAGTAGTTGTGGTGGTGATGCAGTAGTTGGGTGGTCGATGGGCAGTAGTTGTGGTGCTGATGGGTCAGTAGTTGGTGGTGATGGGCAGTAGTTGTGGTGGCTGATGGGGCAGTAGTTGTGTGGTGACTGATGGGGCAGTAGTTGTGGTGGTTGATGGGGCAGTAGTTGTGGTGGTTGATGGGGCAGTAGTTGTGGTGGTTGTGCGTTTGATGAGGCAGTATTTGGTGACTGATGGGGCAGTAGTTGTGTGACTGAATGGGGCAGTAGTTGAGTGGTGCGCGATGGAGGGCAGTAGTTTGTGTGGCGATGGGGCAGTAGTTGTGGTGGCCGATGGGGCAGTAGTTGTGGTGGGATGGGTATGGGTAGTAGTTGTGGTGGCTGATGGGACAATAATTGTGGTGATTAATGGGGCAGTAGTTGTGGTGGATGATGGGGCAGTAGTTGTGGTGGTTGATGGTGCAGTAGTTGTGGTGTCTGATAGGGAAGTAGTTGTCGTGGCTGATGGGGCTGTAGTTTTGGCGATTAATGAGGCAGTAGTTGTGGTGGCTGATGGGGCAGTAACTGTGGTGGCAGATGGGGCAGCAGTTGTGGTGGATGATGGGGCAGTAGCTATGGTGTTTGATGGGGCAGTAGTTGTTGTGGCTGATGGGGCTGTAGTTGTGGTGGCTGAAGGAGCAGTAGTTGTGGTTGCTGATGGGGCAGTAGTTGTGGTGGCTGATGGAGAAGTGGTTGTGGTGGCTGATGGGGCAGTAGTTGTGGTTGCTGATGGGGCAGTAGTTGTGGTGTCTGATGGGGCAGTAGTTGTGGTGGTTGATGGGCAGTAGTTGTGGTGGCTGATGGGGCAGTAGTTGTGGTGGTTGATTGGGCAGTAGTTGTGGTGGCTGATGGGGCAGTAGTTGTGGTGGCTGATGGGGCAGTAGTTGTGGTGGCTGATGGAAGGGCAGCAGTGTTGTGTGGCTGATGGGGCAGTGGTTGTGGTGGCTGATGGGGCAGTAGTTGTGGTGGTTGATGGGGCAGTAGTTGGGGTGGTCGATGGGGTAGTAGTTGTGGTTGCTGATGGGGCAGTAGCTGTGGTGGATGATGGGGCAGTAGTTGTGGTGCTGAGGGCAGTAGTTGTGGTGGCTGATGGGCAGTAGTTGTGGTGGCTGATGGAGTAAGTGGTTGTGGTGGCTGATGGCAGGTGTTGTGTGGATGACTGGTGCAGTAGTTGTGGTGATTAGATGGGATGTAAGTTGTGGAGTGGCTGGTTTAATTGGTGGGAGGGATGCACACCTGCCATATTCTCCGTCTAATCTCTCCCTCTCTCCTCGTTGCTCAGGACGTGCGGCTCTCCTCGTCCGTGATCTCCCTCTCCTCCTCGTCTTGCTCGGCCGCTGCGTTCTCTCTCCGTCTCCTCGTTCTCGTCTCCCGTCTCTCGTATCTTCATGCGTCCGCATCTCGGCCGAGTGCGGTTCTCTCACTCATATCCGTGTCGTCCGCCCTCGTCCGCCTTCACTCCTTTCGTATCTCTCCGTCTCTACGGTCACGCCCATCTCCCTCTCTCGTTCTCTCGCTTCCACGGTCGTCGTCCTACATTTCGTCTATTCTCAGGGTTCGTCTTGTCTCTCCGTACACTCCGATTGTATTCGAGCGTCCGTCTGCTCTTGTCCTCTTCCTTTTCGCTCCTCTACTCTTTCCGTCTCTCTTTTTTGTTCAGTCTCCCGTCTTTTCCTTCTCCGTCTCTCTCGCGTCACGTTCACGCGGTATGTGAAGTTGTTTCTCGATCCAGCCCTCTCAAAGCCATAAGACATTTCACCGGCTCTTACGTTCAGCTCACGTTAAGAGGTCATCTACAGGGTCCGTCGGACGCTTTCTCAAAAGATCTTGCCTCCTCATCCCCAGTTCTCCGCTCATCTCTTTCTCGCCCACTACTCGAGATCTCACGTTATTTATTCTTGCTTGCGTTCTGTCCGTCTGCTGCAACTCGTATTCACTTCTTAACGCCTACGTCGTTCGTATCCTTCGTATTGACGATTATCTTTCTTGCTGGTTCCTTCTCCANGGACAGTAGTTGTGGTGTGGAATGAGGCAGTAGTTGTGTGCTATGGCAGTAGTGGTTGATGAAGGCAGTAGTGTGGTTGTGGGCGTAGTAGATGCGCATGGGCAGTAGTTTGGTGATTGATGGGGCAGTAGTTGGGGTGTTCATGGGGCAGTAGTTGTGGTGGTTGATTGGGCAGTAGTTTGGGTGGTGATGGGCAGTAGTTGTGGTGGCTGATGGGCAGTAGTTGTGATGGTTGATGGGGCAGTGGTGATTGCAGTAGTTGTGGGTGCGCTGATGGCGTAGTTGTGGTGGCTGATGGGGCAGTAGTTGTGGTGGCGATGGGCAGAGTTTTGGTGGGATTGAAGCAGTATGGGTGGTTGATGGGGCAGTAATTGTGGTGGCTGATGAAGCAGTAATTGTGGTTGCTGATGGGGCAGTAGTTGTGGTGGCTGATGAAGCAGTAATTGTGGTTGCTGATGGGGCCGTAGTAGTGGTGGCTGATGGGGCACAGTTGTGTGGCTGATGAAAGCATTAATTGTGGTTCTGATGGGCAAGTTGGTGGGGCTGATGGGCAGTAGTTGTGGTGGCTGATGAAGCAGTATTTGTGGTTGCTGATAGGGCCGTAGTAGTGGTGGCTGATGGGGCAGTAGTTGTGGTGGCTGATGAAGCAGTAATTGTGGTTGCTGATGGGGCAGTATGGTGGCTGATGAAACAGTATTGTGGTTGCTGATGGGGCAGTAGTTTGGTGGCTGATGAACAGTAATTGTGGTTGATGGGGCCTAGTATGTGTCTGATGAGCAAGTAGTTGTTGATTGATGAGGTTCAGTATTGTGGCTGATGGAGTATTGTGGTGATTGATGGCAGCAGTAGTTTGGTGGCTGATGGCCAAGTATTGTGGTGGATGATGGGGATGGAATTGTGGTGTCTAATGGGGTAGTAATTGTGATGGCTGATGGGGCAAAAGTTGTGGTGGCTGATGAGGCAGTAGTTGTAGTGGATGAAGGGATGTAGTGTGGTAGCGGGGCAGTAGTTGTGGTGGCTGATGGATGTATTGTGATGTCTAATGCAGCAGTAGTTGTGGGGATGATGAGCAGTATGTGATGTCTAATGGCAGTAGTTTTGTGGTGATTGAGGGGAGTAGTTGTTTGGCTGATGGGCAGTATTTGGTTATTGATGTTAGTTGGTGCTGATAGGGCAGTAGTTGTGGGGTGATGGGGCATGTAGTTGGGTGATTAATGAGGCAGTAGTTTGTGGTGGATTGGTGGGGCAGTAGTTGTGGTTGTTGATGGGGCAGTAGTTGTGGATGGGCTTAGTTGTGGTTGGATGAAGGGCAGTATGTAGTTGCTGATGGGGCAGTAGTTGTGGTGGCTGATGGAGCAGTGGTTGTGGTGGCTGATGGGGCAGTTTTTGTGGTTGCTGATGGGGCAGTAGTTGTGGTTGCTGATTGGAGCAAGTGGGTGGTGGCTTGGGCAATAGTTGTGGTGGCTGATGGGGTAGTAGTTGTGGTGATTGATGGGTAGTAGTTTGTTGTGGCTGATGGGGTAGTAGTTGTGGTGATTGATGGGGTAGTAGTTTGTTGTGTGATGGGCAGTAGTTTTGGTGATTGATGGCAGTAGGTGTGGCTGATGGAGCAGTAGTTGTGGTAGCTGATGGAGCAGGAGCTGTGGTGGCAGATGGAGCAATAGTTGTTGTGGCTGATGAAGCAGTAGTTGTGGTGGCAGATGAAGCAGGAGCTGTGGTGAAAGATGGAGCAGTAGTTGTGGTGGCTAATGGAGTAGTTGTGGTGGATAATGGGGTAGTAGTTGTTGTGGCTGATGACGCAGTAGTTGTGTTGACTGATGAAGTAGTAGTTGTGGTGACAGATGGAGCAGTAGTTGTGGTGGCTGATGAAGCAGTAGTAGTGGTGTCAGATGTGGCAGTAGTTGTGGTTAATGGGGCAGT